GACCCTCTGTCCAGCCCCCCAGCTGTCTGTCCAGCCCCCAGGCCCTCTGTCCAGCCCCCAGGCCCTCTGTCCAGCCCCCCCGCTGTCTGTCCCCTCTGAGATCTGCTGGCAGGAGCCCTCCCCTGTTGTCGCTCTCTTTCTCTTTCACCTGCCTCCCTCCCTCCCTCACGGCATTTATCATTTGCTGTCGTTTTGTGTTCGGGGCCCAGTGGGGCCGGAAGTCCCCTGCAGAGTCCAGGTGTGCCCGGCACCGCGGCCTCCTAGAGCGGCGTCTGCCCCAGCTGTCGCCACACCAGGAACACTTAGCGTTCGTCACTGTCGCGGGCCACCATCTGCCCGTGACCAGGGAGGTGAGCTGAAACGCAGACACGCCACCAGCTTGCCCACCTCCCTGCTCCATGGAAATCGCCAGATGGGGAAAGTCAGTCTGGAACCTCGGTCACAGTGCTGCTTGTTCTGTCGTAGCCTCGCGCGTCTCCGCTGCCAGGAGCCAGCTCCTGTGGCCCCTGATGGACGCTGGTGCCAGGTTTCACCCCGGGGATAATATGGCAAAGGCGGGGGGGGGAGTGAGTGAGGGCAGCGGGAAGAACACTAGGGCTTTGGTGAGAAGCCCCTGAAATGGCAAATTTTGGTCTCTGTTTTTCTGGGGAGAAGCCACTGGCTTTCACCACATCCCCACGGGGGTCATGAAGTACAAAAGGTCAGGAACCACCGGCCACAGAGGCACAAATCCCAGGCGAATCTCCATCTGTTGCTGCTTGCTTGCCTCCAGGGACGGGGAGCTCAGCCTCTGAGAGGTGGATGCTCCATTCCACATGCCTCAGGTGCCTTCTGTCTCCAATGCCAGCAAAAGCAAGCCCCATTCTGCCCCCGCCGTCGTGCGCTCCCATCACATGGATTTGCGGCTGTCTTCGTGGCTTCCAGATGTTTCTTCCTGCTCGGTTTCCTCTTCCTCAGCGGCAAGAGGGCCTGGCTGCTGTGGGGTCTGTGGCCTGGGCCCAGAAGGGCACCCCCTCCATCCATCCTGAGTAGGAGGAGCGGGGGGGGGGGGGGGGGGGGGCGGGGGGGGGGCCCCCCCCCCCACCCCCCCCCCGGAGGGCGGGCGTCATCTCTATGGTGACTGACAGGGTCGGGGGGCGGGGCAGGAGGCAGCTCAGCCCCAGCACCTGTCTCCAGCCCTCGGGGCCCAGGCTGGCTGAGTCAGCCGGAAGGGGCCTGGGGAGACGGGGAGCGGAATAAGGATGGGCACCTGTTCCCCATTGTCCCTCTGCCCGCCCCTCTGGACCCACTGGTCTGACCTCAGGGACACGGTTGCTGCCCTGACTGGGGGCACCTCCGTGGCTCTGGCTTCCCCACTCTCCTGAGAGGTCTCTGGGCTGTGGGCCCACCTTGTCGGCTGTAAGGGGGGCTCTGTGGAACCCCCCCTGCAGGAGCCTCCTGGGGAAGGTAGGATTGGAGTCAGGTGCCCCAGGCCTGCGGCTCTCCGCCCCCAGAGGCTGCAGACACCTGTGCCCCCACCTGTGCCCCCTCAACCACTTATTCGCTCAGCCAGGTTTTCTGAGCACTTCCGTGCGCCGGACGCAGGGTCCACCCTCAAGCTCCCAAACCTCGGTACCTGAGTGTGGGGGGCTTCTCGGAGGAGGTGTCCTGGGCCCAGGAGAGGGTTACCCTCTCGTCTCAGGGGCCCTGGACCCCCGGAAGAGTGTCCCTATGGGTCGGGCGAGGGCTGTGCTTCATGCAACCCCCAGAGGGCCCCCCCCCCCCGGGCCAGAGGGGGCACCGCTGCTGCTCGCACAGCGTGGAACAGAGTGCAGGGGAGAGCACGCTGCCCCCGGTGCTGGGGAGACCAAGGAGGGGCTGGGACCACCGTCCTGGCGAGAGGGGCCCGTGGGCAAGCCGCGGTTGACGGGACGGCCGGGACGACCCCAGGTGCTGGGGCTGTCGCGGGACTGGGGCTGACACAAGGGTGAAGTGTGCACAAGTCTTGGGGGCACCCCCCACGGCCTCTGACCCTGCGGGGCGGCCGAGCCGGTGCCGGGAGGGGGTCAGGCCGCCCCACGGAGCCTTACGGATTCCCTTCGGGCTGTTGTGCAGGTTCCCTCGGAGACGTGGAGACCGCAGAAGAGGACGCCGGCCTCCTGGAGCAGGAGGCTGGAGCCGTGGGGCCCGAGGCCGCGGGAGAGCCCGAGCCCCTGAGCCCTGCCAGTGCAGGTGAGTCGCGGTGGGCGTGCCACGGGCCCGAGTCTGACCCCTGTGTCGCACCCCCCGCCCCCCACCGCGTCCTTGCCTGTGACTTTACGGAGCCAGGTCCTTCTGGGACTCGGTTTCCTCACCCATGAAGTGGGTGTTAAGCTTGGCGGTGTCTGTGGGCCGACTGCTCCACAGTTTCCCACCAGGGCACTGACGCCCCGGGGACACACGCCACTGGGCACGGGTCCAGCCCCTTCTGGTACCGATGGGGAGACGGAGGCCCCGCTGGGGAGGTCTAGCCCAGGTCGTGGGCCACTGAGTGACCTTGAGAAAGCCGTGCCCTCTCCAGCCTCACTTTGCCCTGTGTGGAACGGGGACAGTGAGTCCTTACCTGGCTGTGCCAACTGCCTCAGCGCACATGGTCTCAGTACATAGCAGGCTGTAAGGTAAGGTACGGTACCCCATTTTACACCCGAGGGAATGAGCCCAGAGAGGTTAAGAGGCTTGCCCCTGGACACACAGCCTGTAAGCACCCAGGCAGCGATCTGACCTGACCCTAGGTCTGGATTCAGGTTGATTCCCCTTCGTGCCCAATGCCTGCTCCCCCTGCCACCCACCCACCCCAGGCACCTGGAACCTTTCTTTGGACCCTCCTGGTGGCAGTTTCGTGGGCCAGAGGTAGTGCTGGGGGGTGGGGTGCCTGGGCTAACCACCAGGAGGCCAGCTCTGGCCTCAGGGCGAGGGCGGCTTCCCTAGCGAGCTGTACCCCCGGGCCCCCCAGGGGGAGGGGGCTCACTGAGGCGCTGGGGGCGGCCTGCTTTCCTGAGGAGAACACTCAGGTTGCGAGACTAGTGGGGGTGTGGTCTGGTGCACCTCTCCCCGCCCCCACCCTGCTGCCCATGGCCGGTGATCTTATCCCCATTCAGCACCTCGACGCCCTTGCACACGGAGGATGCGCAGAGAAGGGGGTCCCTGGGCGGCAGCACCTGCCCGTGCAAAGGCCCTGAGGTGGAATATGGCGAGTGGGCAGCAGCCTTCTGCGGGGTGGGGGTGGGGGTGGGGCCGGGGCACAGAGACCCCAGGCAGAGCGCGGGGGACCGCCCCCCCCAGCATCTCCCAGTCTCAGAGCATCATCGTCCCCCCTGGGATGGCCACAGGCCAGGAGTCCAACAAGCCTCGTGCTCTGAGACCTGGTGGCCCCTCGGTCCCTTTCCCCAGTGGCAGGCCCCTCAGGGGTGGCCCCTCGGCCCACCCAGAGACAGTGGCCGGGGTGCCAGGTCAGGGGCCCGGCCTCCGGTGCCGGCTCTTGTGCATTATTACTATCTCCGCCACCATCATCGGCATCATGTCTGTCCCCGGAGCCCGTGCTCCTGCCCTGCCTGAGCCTCGGTCGCTGGGTCTGGGCGGCCGAGCCTGTGGCAGTGCGCCCGGGGCCCCCTTATCGCCACCGCCATCACCACCGCTGTTAGGTGCTGTGTGCTAATGGGGGCGCCCCGATCTACCAAAGGGCAAGTGGCTGTTACTGGTGGACTTTGACCCCGGTGGCTTTCCAGGGGAGCCGGGCCCCTTATCTGATCTGCTCGCTGGGGCTGCATGGGGTGGGTGGGGGCGGGGCCGGGGAAAGAGCTGGAAAAAACAGCCGGGGTTGCACCTGGCACAGGCCGCGGTGATAACGCAGCGATGGGCGAGATAAGGCGGCGGGGAGCGAGCTCTGCCTCTCGGGCGGGCCCAGCGCGGCTCCCGCGCGATGGCTGGCTGGGGCTCGAATGCCAGCCGCGTTGATTTATAGCCAAAAATAATAGGACTTTTATACTGTGTGATTGATTTATTTGATGTTAATCACAGCCCTTATCTTGGGTATTAATAATCTGCCGGGCGTGTGACGTCACCAAGGGGGGGCTTTTATGGGAGCTCATCGATTGGGGGCTGCGTGGTTATCAGGCTCAGCAGGGAAGGCAAATATGCCCTTTGGGCTGGACCCGGGTGCCGGGCCCGGCTGGAGGGGCCCCCAGCTGCCGGCGGAGGAGACCAGGGAGCCTGCACGGCCGCCCGCTGGCCTGGGTGTGCCCGTGAGGCCACCCTGCCCTCTCATTATTAGCGGCCACTGGAAGAGCAATTGTTGCTGCAATTAATGAGGGGATGAGGGGCTCGGAAGGCCAAGGAGAAAACTGAGGAGTCTGTGCCCCCATTAGCGCAAGCCCGGTGTGGAGGGACCTCGGGCGCGTGCTCACCGCCTGGGTCTCGGTGTGCCTCCTGGCCACGGGGTGGGGGGGGGGGGCGGTGGGGAGGTGGGCGACGCGGTGCCCGGAGGTGGCGGGGCCTGACCGTGTTTTCCTGTCCGCAGACGCCAATCCCCCGCCCCCACCATCGCCACCACCCGCCACATCCCCAGGACGACCCGAGATGGAGGGGCAGGAGCCAGAGGCCAGGCTGGAGGAGGAGTCAGGCAGCTCCTGGAGCGGGCCAGGTAACCACACCCACGGCCGGGGGCTGCCGTCCTGCCGGCGGGGGGCGGGACGGGCCTCGGCTTCCGGCCGAGGAGGTTGGTGGCGACCCTCCGGGCCGGGGCCCGTGCCCGTTCCGAAGTCCAGGCAGCCTGTGGGGCCGGCGATAGCGTGGGAGGCGGCCACCAAGCCCTGCCGATGCCCAGAGCTAAACCCCTTGCCCACGCGCTCTGAGGGCTCCCAGGAGGCAGTGTGCCTGGCTGGGGGAGAGGAGCAGGTGGTGAGGCCAGCGAGAGGCATCGCAGGAATTGGGAGCCACGGAGGTGGATGCCTCTGCGTCCCAGCTGGGCTGGGGGTTCAGGCCTGTGCAGGGTGGGAGAGGGCCCACCCCCCGGCCCCCGGGTGGCCGCAGCCGCAGGGTCGGGGGGCAGGAGTTGGCTCCCAACTGCCCGGTGCTGGAGCAGGGGAGTGTCTGAGGGAGGATTTGTGCTGCCCATCCCCCTGCCCGAATTCTGACTTCAGAGGTCCTACCAGATGGTTCTCCCTGTGCTCCTAGCAGTGCAGGGAAAGCTGGGCGTGTCTGCTGTTTCTGTTTGTTCCGGGAACGCAGGGTGGCGGGGGCGGGGGCGTGGGGCCGCGTGTCTGTGCGTCAGCGAGGGTCGGCGGGCACTGTCTCAGTGAGGGGACGCCGTGCACTTGGGCCAGGCGTGCGTGGATGCAGGAAGCATTCATTGAGTGCTTGCTGAGTACATGTCTTCTAGCTGTGAGCAAACAGTCCTCAGGGAGGTTGCACGAGCAGCCCAGGGAGGCTGTGGCCGGTGGAGAGGAAGCACCCAGGTGGGGCAGGGACAGGCTCTGCCAGGGCAGAAGGGACCTGAATCCCTCCTCTGAGGGCCCTCGGGGGCCAAGATAGGAAGGGTGTCAGAGATGGTCTCCCTCTAGGCTCAGGCTGAAAGTCCATGTGGACCTCTTGGGGGGCAGGGGAGGGGGTGTCCCCAAGCCTCGGGAGAAGAGAGCCGTGATTGACTAGTGATGTCTGCCACCGGCTCTGGCGTAGATGTGGGGACACGTATGCCCCCCGGTTCCCCTCGTGATTAACACAGCCCGTCCCACACAGGGACAGTGTGGGCAGTCTGAGGCTGTGGGAAGGGCCGGCCTGTCGGTCGCACCAAGATGGCAACCCCACATTTTCTGTGCCCTCTCATTCTCTGCCCTTTCCACCTGGATGGGCCACCGTGTTGCCCAGGAGTGGAGCACCCTGGGTAGGACGGTGCTAGGGGTCCCCTCTGCTGCCCCCAGCTCAGCAACACTGCTTCCCTTCAAAACGGACTTGGCCGCCACCCCCCCTCTTGGGGACCTGTTGACGGCAGAGGAGGGGCCCCGGGTGCCCTGGCAGAAATGTGCCCGCGGTGTGGCCTGTTCCCACCAAGGAGCACCTGGCAAGGGACAGGCCACAGGGCCACGTGTCCTTGAGGTCCTCACGGCCCTCAGAGCTGAGCCGGACGCCTGTCTGCTGGGTGCTGGGGTCCACACGGGGGCCTTTCCGCCCACAGGATGGTGCTGCGCGGGCTGGGCGGGGACCCCGTGGTCAGACTGCGCTACCTGCCTCAGTTTCCCCAGCTGCAGATGAGGTCACAACAAGGCGCCCACAGAAGCCAGGTCAGCACTGCCCCAGGCCCCATGGACCTCATGTTCCAGTCTTTATGAGGAAACTTCCTCCTGCGGGGGCGGGGGGGGGCGGCGGGGGGACCACCCGTGTGCCTGAGGGACCCGGACCGGCCACTGGATAGAGTGGCCCTGGGGAGGAAGAGCCCCAGGCAGCGTCACCCAGGCTCTGAGGCGGGCACGGGGGTAGCCCCCCCCAGTTTATGCAGGAGACTCGGGCGCAGAGTGACAGAGGGACTTGTCCAGGGTCACCCAGCTGGAAAGTGGCAGAGCAGGGTCCAGACCGATCCCTGGCTCCAGAGCCGGGGCCGCGACTGTGTGACTGTCCCAGTGGGGCCCCATCCCCCCATCAGTGCAATCATCACCCCCATTTCATAGACGGAGGAACAGAGCCTCCTGGAGATGGGAAGCTGACCCCGGGGCACCGGCCGGCCCGAGGGTGGCCGTGGTTTAGGGCTGGAGCGCCTCGGGGGGCTTCCTGTGCTATTTGCATCCCTGGGGCCGGGGGCTCCCCGTCCGTCGCCGCAGATAGCAATTTCTGTGCAGTGGGCAGCGATGGGCCGATAAGCGGCCGCTGGCCAACCGCCGTGGTGCCTGCCCCCTATCAGACCCCGGGCAGGCCGCACTTATCGCCCGCCAGGGAAGCCAGAGAGGCCCAGTGGGCCCTTATCTGAGAGGGGCCGCCCGTGCCAGCGATGGGGCAGCAGGGCTTTGCCAGGGCCTGACCAGGCCGGCGTCCCTGAGGGCAGTGCCCAGGGTGGGGGTGTGCGGCCGTGGCCCCTGCCCACGAGTCCCGCGCCCCACCCCCCCCTCGCCTTGTCTGCCCCCTTCTTGCCACTCTGCCCATCCCGGGTGAGCATCTACCCGCCCCTGTGTCTCTGAGTCTGTCCCCAAGCCTGGAAAATAGCCCTGGCTGTACCGCCTGGCTTGGGGACACCAGCTACCTTTGCCCTCTGGATGAAGGCGACCAGCTCGGACCACACGTGCACCTTGCACCGTCTGGCTCTGGGGAAGGGCCTGGCCCCGAGCCTCAGTTTCCCATCTGGCCTGCGCGAGGGCCAGGGCTCGTGGGTCTCCCAGGCACCTCCCCCCGGGGTCAGACCCGTGGTCAGGGAGCCCAGGAGCCGGTGACAACAGCCAACAGCCCAGCGGAGAGACTGGGCCTCGGTGCCTCTCTGAAGCTGCACAGCGGGTACAGGGGGGCCGCTCTGCCCCGGGGGCAAGGCCCAGAGCAGCCGGCCACGAGCACCCCCGGGAGGCACCCCCGGGCAGCAGGCAGGAGGGCCTCGGTACACACTGCAGACACCAGCGAGGTCGTGGATGTGCGAGGGCTTCGTGGACGCCGGAGTGCGCATCCGGGACCCATGAGGGGCCCGGTCCTGCCCCCGCCCGACACCTCGTGGCCCCAGAGCTCCAGAACCAGGCTGGGGAGGTCCTCAGGCATGTGTTTCCGCTTTGAGAAGTTGTGAGCTCCGTCAGCGGCCTCAGCTGTCGCGGGTCAGGTGGGAGTATGGCCAGTGGCGCGGAGGTCAGGGCACAGACCCCTGAGCGTGCCGGCCCCGGAGGGGCTCCAGCTTTGCCGACCTCTCTGGGCCTCAGTTTCCTCATCTGTACGATGGAGCTAAGGGGCCTGTGAAGGGGCTACGCCCACAGCACGCAGAGAGCCGCAGTGTTGTCTCCCCTCGCCGGCGGTCTGGGCTGGGATGTCATGTGGAGAAGCCACTCTCGGGGCAGAAAGGCACTGCCCGCTTCAGCTGCCAAGCAGGGGGCCCGAGGCTGGGAGAGGCCGCCCTCCGCTTCCTGCGTCCCTGCGAGTGGTTTGTGGCCCAGGGTGAGGCCGGCTCCGAGGTGGCCCCACAGTGCGGTCTCAGGGATAGATGTCCCCTCTCTCCTCTGAGCACCGGGACCGCAGCTGCCCCCTGGGGCGGGTGAGGGCCTGGGCAGAGCCCCCCTCCCCCCATAATTAGATGGATCCTCCCTCCATCCCAAGGAGCCATGTGCTGGGGTGTCCTCCACGCTGGGAGCCCTGACCACACCAGTGAGGGGACTGTGGAAGTCCCCGAGGGGAAGGTGGCCCCCAGATGGGCCCCATAGGGCAGGGAGGTCCTCCGGTCAGAAGTGCAGAGCCCGTGCAAAGGCCCTGGGGGTGAGACCGAGGCCTAGCCAGGAGGCCCTGGAGCCCGGTCCCAGGTCTGTAGGGAGGGCGCTTCGGCCTGTGGTCGGGAAAGCACCCGGTGGGGCTCAGGGACGCGGGGATGCTGGGCTGGGGGCTTTGAGGGGAAAGGCGGTGGGTGGCAGGAAGGGGAAGGCTCAGTATTTTTATCTTTGAAATGACCTTGTTTGCTGGAGGGGCTGGCTGTTTAAAATTCTGATATGCAAATATCTGAGAGCTGTAATCTGTAATCCCCAAAGCATGTCTGGAGGGCAGCTGGCCACGAGCTTTCTGCCCGAAAGGGGTCGGCCCCTCACTCCACGACCCCCAGCCCTCCTGCCATTCAGCCGTCCCCTCTCCCCCTCTCGGTCTCCCCACTAACATCTAAAAGAAACAGGTCAGGCAGGAAGGCCGGCCTCCGTTCGGACTGAGCCTGGAGGGTCCCATCCTGAGTGGGGGTCCCGGGCCCATCACCCACCTCCTGGGCCCCATCTGAGCCCCTGTGCAGTGGCCGTCAGCGTGCCCTCGGCCTGCCTGGCCGGGTCATGAGGAACCAGGATGAAGGGAGGGAGCGGCTCTGGGGAGTCCCAGGGCGTCCGGGAGCCTCCTCTGCAGCCAGCCTCATGGTGTGGGACCCCCTCCCGCCTGAGCAGCCCCTCTGCCGGGCCGCCTGGGGCTGGGCCGCCTCCTCCGGCCTCCCTTGCTGCCTGGTGAGCCTGGCACAGGGCAGGCAAGGCCCGGATGCCCCGGATGGGGGCCAGCGTGCAACCGCTGCTGAGTGCAGGTGCCACGCCGGGTGGGGGCCCGCGGGGGGGCGTCAAGTAGTCGTGAGGGTGGCCTGGGCTCCGTGGGCCCAGGAAGGGGGGAGGTGGCCAGGGGCACACTTGGTGGTCAGCTTGGCCGGGGGTGGGGGGAGGGGCCCCGGCCTGTGGCCTGGCTTTGTGATCAGGGCCCCAAGAGTGGGGTTCCTTTCACCCATAGGAGCCTCGGAGCCTGGAACTCTTTCCTGGCGACCACTGTTCACAAAACAAAATCTAATTGGCCAGGCATCCGGTGTTACCATTTATATCCCCATCTCAGGCCCTGGAGGCAGAGGTGGGAAGGCTGGCCACGTCCTCACGGCACTGCGGGTCAGCAGAGACGTCCCTGAGCTGAGGCCAGAGGACCAGCTGGAGTGGGGTGAGGGTGTCCGGGCAGTGCAAAGGC